AATAATTTTAAAAATAATTAAATGATTTACTTGATTGCGCGTTGCACTCAGAAATGGATTGGCTGGTAAAAATGGCACAGCAGCATTTTCTGCATTCATTGTTGATGTCGCCCAAACTAATTAAAATTTAAAAACAAAATTATTCATATACATAGGGAAGAGAAGTGTATTTTAAAATCTTAATTAAACACGTACTTGCTTCATTCTCACGTCGATCTACTTCATCGTACAAATCCATTACTAATTCTTCAAACATCTTATTTGGCACTAGTTGTAATTTTCCCCTGGCGATCTTTAACTGCTCACTTATATCTGCATTGCTTAACTCCGGTATAACGAGATGCCGACCAGACTAAAGACGAAACGACATTATTCCTTATATAACATATGTAGAACAACATTAATACATACCGCATGATCTGGTTTTTTCCCTCCCAGAAACATAATTATACGATCTGTTACATCGTACATGGCATCCAATAAACGCTCCGCTATTGTACTATGATTATTAGCTTTTGCGACCTCTAACGGCGCTAAGCCATTGCCATCTATTGCATTGATGTCTGCGCCGTATACGAGCAGTAATTCAATTTGTGATGCTTGTCCGAACTTGGCTGCTACATGTAATGGTGTTGAGCATTTTTCTTCGTGATAGAAATTGGGATCCGCACCCTGCACTAATAAACGCAATGACGTTTCCAAATTGCTAGTACGTACACTGGCATGCAGTTGTTTACTTAGCTCTTGACCAAGATTCACTCCGTTACTGCACACGTTGTCTTCGTCTTGATAATTGGGCTTGAGAACAAAACTCAAATTTATATGCTTTGCTTTTATAAATTCCGTTTTGGTGGGATCTAATGCGTCTTTAGGGCTTGGCTTACGCAAACGTGTTGCACCCTTAGTACTAGTATTTGTTTGTCCATCAAGCAAATGATGTTCCCAAACGCTATTGGCACGAGTGTTCAGTGAATTGACAAAATTTAAAACTGATGGTTCCCAAATGCCTTGCCGCAAGGACTTCACAATAGATATATGACGTCCCAGGCTACGATGTACAGAACAGCAATCGGAGCACAGTAGTATGCCACGATTTATCGATGCCCATGATGGATCTAAAATCATAAATGTTAGCACAGCACTTTCATTAAATCAAAGTAACCGAAATAAATACCAGAAGCACCGCAATCGCCACAAACGTCCGCCTGCAACCGAGATTTGCTTCGCAACATTTTGTTGTGCCTTGTAGCAGACTTTTTATCCGCGCCACAAGCGTTACTGTTCGTAGTGTTGTCAGTAGACTCAGAGGTTGGCGCTAAAAATAGCTTTTTATGGGATTCCACTATGCTACTTGCGAAACACATTCATGCTGTTTAATACTGCCCAGCCTAAAATACGAACTTACGTCAAATTGGATTATGCGACTGTGTACAGAATCCGTGCTTTATTGAGTAAATCGTTTCCAGCTTCCTCGACTTATAACGTAATGCAAATGAGCAACAATGAAACCAATTAAACGCTAATTAATTTAATTAATCTTTGTGCTACTTTTACTAGTTTTCAGAGAACTATATCGAACTATGATAACTCTATGCTGACTAAAATAATGCAATTCTTGACTTTCTTTTACGCGACATTTCACATTCTCTATTGTTCTTTGGTGTTTATTTCTATTTTTGTTTGTAACTAATTTTAAGGTGGATGTACAGCAAAAAATGTTATGTTTCTGTTCAATTCACAATAGTTTATATTTTATAAGAAATATTAAATTCTTGCGATCCAGACAAATGGAACTAATGTGTTCATTTGTTTTGGATAATTTGTTTTTTTGAATATTTTTAAAGAGAGAGTAGTCACATTCAAAATGAAATATATTCTTATATATTCTACTATAACTATAATATAAATATATTATACTGTACATATTTGTTTAGTTTTGTTTAAGATTTTTATTTTATATATAACTTTTCAAGAAGCATATTGTAATAAAACAATGATATATATAAATTATTTAAGATTGCTCGTTTTTATTGTCGTATTTTCATTAGTATAATCACCACATATTTACTAAAAATCTGTTTATATATAATTTCGCAAATGAAATTTATAATTTTAAGGTTATAATTTTAAGGTTAGAATGAAATTAAGGAAAATGACTCTAATTTCGTTAAAACGAAAGCTGAAATTAAGGAACATTTTGAATGTAACTATGTGTAAGATATATTTTAAGCAAAAGATAAAGTTGAGATAACGAAAAAGGGGCATTTTTTAAATAAATGTCAATGAAAGCTGATTTTAATAAAACCGGGAAATATTTTTAAAGTAGTGTAAATGTTTAAATTTAAATATAGAGAAAGAACTGTAACTGTTATTAATATAAAATAGAGTGAAAAATAATAATTCCCATACGTGAAATTCACTAAAGCCAACAAAACTACGAAAAGTCATCCTTTATAGTTATAATATTCAATTTTAAAACTTTCCTAGATACAAATAGTGTTTCGAGTATGTAATTTTTAACATTCCATTTGTAAACAAAAAACATATGATTTTCCTAATTTGGGGTAGTATGAACACTTTCGGAATTAACTTAATTTCATATTTCCGAAATTAAGCAAATTTGACTGTCTGAACATAGCAATAGTTTGTTAGAATTATTCTACACAATTCTACTATTGTGAATTAGTAATTTAATTTTAACTTAATTTTGTATAAATTACAATTGAATCATAATTTTAGATATCAGATTTCTTTATGAAATTGAATTGTAATTTTAAGTTTATTTTGTAGTAAAGTTAAGCAAATAAAGCATAATTATGTTGAACATTAGAATAATAAATTAATCGAAACTGTGTTCAATACCTGATTAAAGCTAGTTAGCTGGCAACTCAAATAAATTATAACATATTTGAATTGAAATTAGATAATGTATTGTAGCACTGAACTGAATATAATAACCAGCGAATGTTGCTCAATTGTGCGCATTGCTACTGAAATTAATTCTTTGAAACATATTTTTGACACCTCTTTTCAGACATTTTTTAACGTTGTTCATTTCCGCTACCAGTGACTATAGCTTAGGATCATGTTATGATTACCGTAACGTGACTACATAGCCTACATGACTACATGACCTTTATAGCACATTCACACTGTCTCATTTATACGACACTAATGAGAATGATTTACCATACAAAAATTTTTCATATAAATGAGCTCATTATCAATAAATCAGCTCATTTAAGGCGAAATATGTAAACAAAGGCACTGAGGCAGTCATTATTAATAATATCTTTGTTTTTATTAATTGAATATGTAATTGATATATAAAATGTATATCAATGATTTAATTTATCAATTGTATTTTTAATTATTTTGTATAATATATTATATATTATATCAGCTGCATAAATGAGATCATTATGAATGTTTACTCAATAATATAAATAAGCAAGTGCCTAAATGAGACAGTGTGAATGTACTATTAGTCGTTCTTCTGCATTACGATCACTTATGCAGTGTGAATAGGTTATTGGGAAGCAAATAAAATCAGCTGATTTATGAAAACGTTAAATTTAAAATTTTTTGCCAGATGAAAAGTTAGTAAATCAAAATAAATAGATAATAAATTTAATAATGTAAAGAAACAAATATTTTTTAAATAATTTAATAAATTTTGTTATTGTAATATAATATTTTAAATATTATATAGGACCCTATAATCAGACCCTATAGTTTGCATCTAATAAAACAACAAATTCCTATAAGGAAAAAAAATAAAAATGATCTCCTATAAAAAAAATCTCCTATACTCCAGAAATATATAGAATGGAATATTTCCTGATGGATAACTTATAAGTTATGTCGGTATTCCGGCGTCTGCGATAAAAATTGTTCAAAGTGTTGAACTACATTTTGTCGCCACCTAATCCAACCAATGAAAGGATGAACATTGGTATTGTAAGACAAGTAAAAGTGACGAATCGCATTGTTACGCATAATTCAAAGTATTGAACTGCATTTTGTCGTAATCTAATCGGTACAAAGCTGGATATTATTGATGGGGATGGGTTCTATAGTTAGAAAAATCTGACACTTCATAATCATTTCATTCGGATGTTTTGATATTTATTATTCTGGAAAGGCAAGTATTAAAAACGATTTTACTGGCTATGTTGGAGATGCTAATATTTACACAGAGTTTGTCAAATTATTCTCGCAAAGGAATTGAGCTCTTAGAATGCGTTGTAGTGGGAAATATGTGTGTATGGAAACAAAAAAGTCCTTAATCTGCTGTTGTTATAATAGCCTGTGAAGTTTATTTGGCAGATAATATAAAAGAAATTATATACGAATACATAATTCCTAGATGAATAGAAGGAATTACATATACGGATACATAGATTCGGAATAATGTTTAATATAAACCTCCCACCCAATCCTTCCACATTCTCTTTCCTCTCCCTTAATCTCCCCTAACCTCTATCCACCCACTTCCATACTCATGTAATCGTCTTGTGTATTCTGTCGTTATCTGCCTACAGGTCTCAGCGGATTACAACAACAACGAATACATAGGTTAGGATACGGTTCGGTAAACGAAGTGTGAAAGAAGCGAGGATTGTTTAAGAACAAGAATGGATTAGTGATGGTTGGAATCATTTATCTATTCGTTACTCATTATATAATGCAAAAACTACAGTAATTGGCGCCAGATTGTATATGTAGTTTCCTGACAACTTTAAATATTGATCTCTCAAAAAGTAAGCTATTCGGCATATACCGTACAGGAAACGGTTGTTCAAGTAACTGACTCTACTACAATACATTATCGAATGGATGAGTCCAAAAAATCATTGAATAAAATATCCGAATTATTAATATTAAAGGATTCACTTAAATTCGAATGGATTTTTTCATTTCCTAAAATATTGGTTGGCGTCACATAGGAAGAAGTGCTCTTATGTTCAATTTGATAAATGAAAAGTTTTCTCTCAAAATTATTTTTCAAAATTTATTTCATATATTTTGACAATATTATCATCACCACAGCTTGCCAAATGAAACACATTTTTGTTGTGCTCATTGGATGTTCCAACATTCTGTGGCCTGAAGTGTAAGCGTTTCACTGTAGAGTGATGAGCATCGCTGCAAAAGAAGATACATAAATATAATTGTCTTGTCGATTTCACACTTAAAATGTAGAAGGTACTTACGAATTATTTAGTTCTAGTAAAAGCGTCCAAGTGGTGTCATACTTATACACTTTAATTAACCCAGATTCGAATCCAATTGCCACTGCGTAGGCGTTGTCAGTTAACTTTCTTTTACCAAAAGCAACTGCAGTTATAGACGCATTTTTATGCTCTAAGATATCCAAAGCCTTCCAGCTGTTGAGACTACTTTCTTGATTTTGTTCCGTTTTAGGCTCGGATTTGGTCCATATAACTGCTTTTCCCTCACGCGAAGTTGTGACGAAATACTTCTCATCATGTGACCAATCGCAGGACCAAATAATTCGTGTGTGTACGCCATTAGTTTTGTCCGTTTGCGCGGTTAACGTGTACACTGGCAAAGCTTCTTCAGGACGGTTGTGACGCTCAAAAAGTGACCAGCGCCTATCGCGAGATACTGATAGTAAATAACGTCCCTCGGGGGAGAAACGCAATTGAGTGACCGTAAGGTTATGTGCGGGTAGATTTTGTATTTTTTTCCAAGTCTCTGCATTCCTAGATTTAAAAACATATAAGTATTATTTAGTTTCCTTATGAAATCTAGCTTGCGTACCATAGAATGATTCCCGCATGTTCAGTATTTGTTGCGCGACAGGAGGAAGCGATAATACGATTATCTGGCGTACTAGTTAGTGCGTATATTTCATATCCATGTCCGTAGAGTTTTTGAGTTTCAGGCCAGAGTGTGTTTTGCATGAGGGTTTCTTCTTGTGGTGGCTGCTCGAAACTGACGGGCACGAAGTAGTTTTCTGGGTATTCATCCTTCACATGTCTTTTCTCGGTTGGATTTTCTGTTTCATACACTGCTTTGTTAGAGAGTCCCAAAGATGGTACTGAGGCACCCTTAGGCAAACCTGTGAAGTGAATGTAAACAAACTAGTTTTTTATTTCATATGTGATGAGTGTTAGGGATAAGTACTTGATAATAAGGTCTCGCCTTCCTTGTCATCCGTGCAGCGTGTAATATGTCTGAAGTTTTCTATGAAGTTAGCAGGCGCTTGGAAAGTTCGTACAATTTTTTCCTCACCGCAACTGGCAAATTTATAACGTGATAAAATAGTCACGGCTTGCATATCATAGCCATGCACCTGTGGCCTGGCGAGCTCATGCCAAGTGACATTTGTTGCATTATCATCCCGTTGCCATGGTGCGTGTATGCGTGTTGTCTGATCCGCTGATACGGACATAAGGTAAGCTCCGCTCGGTTCCCAATCTATATCCCGCACTTCACCGAAATGTCCACCCACAATAACACTTGGCAGCCACATGTTATCATTTTCTGGTGATTGGGACCATTTGTGAAACGCTCCATGAAAGCTATGGCCTATGATGGATTTACCATCACCTCCAAACTTGGCACCATAAAAACCAAGTGAGTTACCACCCACGTCACCACAGCGTACTTTCTCCATCCACACACCATCCTCAGTAGGTGCCCAAATAATTAATGTTTTGTCAATGGAAGCCGAGAGCAAAAGTAGTTCTGTAAGCGAAGAAAAAATATTACAAGGAAAATCATACCAAAATAGACCACAAACCTTGTTCAGCAGTTTTATGCCAATGCACACCGCAAACCCAGCCCTCATGCCCATACAGCACCGATTCCAAGCTAAAGGCAAACCAAGAGTTTTCTGCCAATTGTAGAATTTTCTCCTCAACCTTTATTTCGCCAGAATCTTCACTCATCAAATTAAATATATCCACTTTGTTCTCTTGCACTTGCGATTCAGTGCGCGGCGCTATGCGCCATAGACGTATAAAATTATCCTGTGAAGAGCTGGCAAGCAGTAGATCATTACCATCATATACAAAGTCCAAGCCACGTACCCAATCTTCATGTCCAATCAGTTGATGCACGGGTTTAAATTGCAATTTTTCATCCACCGGCAGTTGTTCAGCCCATAAAGAAACTTTTGCGTTATCACTGCTGAAAGCTAGCAGCGCTTGTTCCGATTTGGGTAATAGTGTCAGACGCAAAGAGAAACAGAAACCAGTAGATAAGAGTATCGTTTGCAAGCATGCACATTGTGTTCCGTCGAAATTCCATAATTTTATGGTTGAGTCACTGGAGGCAGTTCCCAATAACCAACTCGATCCTTGCCTTTTCACACCTGTTACAGCATTCACACTGCTCTCATGTCCTTCCAGCAAATAACATTTCGGCTCGTCTGCAATGTTTTCCATATGCCATAGAATTGCCAAGCCATCGCCACCGCCAGATAGGAAATATGTTTCCTTTGCTTGCCAACTCTCACGCAGCCACTGCACAGTATTAACGATCTTTTTATGTTTTCTGTAGGTGTGAATTACTTTTGTGGTACATCCTTGATACTGCAAAATTTTTCTTTGTTACTATTAAATAAGATTTTTTATTTATTTTGCTTACATTCGGATCACATATCGCCACTGCGTGTGAAGCACCAAATATGATGAAGCCATTATTACCCCAATCTGCAGCTTCAGTTCGCCGATTGCAGCCAACCGATGTGTAAATATTTCTAAATTTCATTATTGTTGCGCTTTTAATTAAAATACAAATGAAAATATATTTAAGAGTGGAATTTTGTTAAAGCCACTGAGTCAGTAAACATGCACGAAACCAAAACACAACAGAACACATGGTGCATTAAAGCCACTGTACACAGAGATTTTCGTTAACCGCTGTTTGAAAGATTAGCTTTGACACCCACCTTTTAGCTGAACAAGTATAAATGTTATACTATTTTAGCTTATAACGAAGAATGTTTTATGCATACGGTTTTTGTTCACAATATAATACGATATTTGATTTGCTAGAATTTTGCGGACTTTTTTAAAATACGGTCTTTATCAATAAAAATTAATTTAAAAAATTTAAATATGATTAACTTTATTATACACTTTGTGATGTGATTTGTTGAATCAATAATTAAATAAATTAATTATGCATAGTAAATAAATAGTGTGTTGTGCTTATAGGTGTTTGTAAGTTCAATAGTAAGTTAATAGTGCATAGAAGAATTTCTGCCTATCGGTGTTTGTGCGTTTATCCATGACAAAAACCTCAACGCAAGCAGTTTGCAATTAATCGGTTCAAAGACCGTTTTTCTACGATTTTTGCTTTAAAGAAGATTTACTATTCTTTAAATATATATATACTTTACGAGATTTGATAAGTCAAAACTTAAAACTTTAATAATAATTATTAAAATATATAAAATAAATAAATTAAAAGTTTTTGACAATATATTTTTATAAATGGCTTTATATTTTAATCAATAAAATAAAATGTATCTGTAAAATATTAAAAAGTAAATACCTTTTCTCGGTTGGCGTAAACGGAAATTATTGGAAATTATTCCAGACAAACTAAATAGAAAATTAAATTATATAAAAATAAGCATCTAAAAAATAATTTATTTTTTATTTTATAATTAATTATTAAACAATTTTAATTTTTAATAATTTATAATTATTACTTTAAATTATAATTAATTAATTATATTAAATTAATTTATATAAAAATGAGCATCTAAAAAATAGTTTATTTTTTTATTTTATAAATAAAATAAAAATAAAAATTCTTCTAAAAACTATTTCCAATAATATTATTAATTAATATTCTCCTAAAATTATTGTTATCAAGTTTAGTCAGTAGAGATGAGCAGGTCTCGTTTTCTATGTATATTTTAATTAATTGCTAATTTAATTTAATACAATTTAATTAAAATAAATCAATTAATTAATTAAGTTTAATTTTTAAGTATTACATTAATAGAATTTGCAATTATGTTTCTATAATTATTACATATTATCGATTACCTTGCGTAATGAAGTGAAGATTGTGTGTCACGTCTTGATTGGGGATAAATATTTGAGATTAGAAGACGACAAGACAAAAAACGGAAAGAGTAAATTTCCGAATATTAGCAATAAATCTGAAATCTGAAATTGGTTTTTGGTTGCTGGTTTACTGTTTACAATTGACAGTTTAGACAAAGTACAAGAGTTATCACCAGTCGTACCCTTATCTTATCGACCGTAATTAATAATGTTCACAGAACAACAGAAAAAGGGGAAATTCTTGTTGCATTCAAACATGGAAGTTGTTTTCGTTTAATGACGAATTGATAAATCCACCATCAAATTATCTGCTCTAAAGAATTCGTCTGCCAAGGTATTTAAGACGTGAACGCAACTGGTTTTATCATAGTTATTTCGGAGTTTTCGTCAATTGCACGTAGCAACATTTTCGGAAATGAAATCAGCAATCTACGCTTTCGTTGCCATTTTGGCTTTACATTATGTACATGCCATCCCAATGGACTGGAACATACAAGCACCGAGGCCGGTTGGAAGTTTAGGCCAATTCAAGCCACCATCTCGTCCACACCACGAAAATAACGGACCAAAAGTAGAAATTGAGCCACCACCATCATTCATTAGCGAAGTCAATGGTGTTCCCGTTGTCGCCCCTCCAAATGTACCCGAACAGGAAGTTTTTGCAAAACCACCAATTCAAAATGAATTGGAACAACAGAAACCAAAGGAAGATCCAAAACGTCCTGGTGTCGAAGTTGTTATTGTGCCAATCAATGTACAAAAACCCAACCACAAGGAGGAAAAAGAACCAGTTCCAAAATACCCTGCAAAACCACAACAAGAAAGACCACAACACGAAAGACCACACGCACACAAGCCACGCCCAGAAGTACCACAAGCAGAATCTTCTGAAGAAGTGCATTTTGCTGAAAAACCAAACGGCTTCAGACCATTCCAACCAATTCACGAAAGACCACATTTCCACAAGCCACAACCAGAAGTACCAGAAGCCGAATCTTCCGAAGAAGTGCACTTTGCTGGCAAGCCAATTAACTTCAGACCTTTCCAACCAGTTCAATTGTTCTAAGTCTTATAATTTCGATTAAAATGTAAAGCAAAGCTGATATTTAATAAAATCTTGTTTATTTGTTGTGAGAAACTTAAATTTTTGAATGTATTTTTTTAAAACAGTGCTTAAGAAGAAGAAAAATTAGTTTAGAAGATTGTATTGTTAAAGCTTGCGTTCTTCTTGTAAATAAATTAATTTTATGGTTTCTAATTAAAATTCAGGACTCTTCAGTGTATTTACTTAGTTACTTACTTATGTGGCCATAACGACCCGTTACCGGGTTTCAGAGACACGCAGCATGTCTCTCCAGGTGCCTCTGCTGTGTGCGACCCTTCTCCCAATTCTGAGGCAACTTCACGTCTTTCATTGGTGGCTGACTATACGCGACGGGTGCCAAACCTTGTACACAACCCAGATTTAAAGTTCTGGGGGCAGGACCCGCTGTTCACACTATTAGTTCATTACCTAGCCGATGTGCGACCTTGTCGTCCTGGATCCTGGATTGCGCTGTCATTTTCCATGTTAAAATGGAAGACAGAAGACACTTTGCCTTGTGTACTCACTCTAGGGGAAATGCGCTTCTCCCCCTTTTCAGTGTAATGTATCAGAAAAATAAGGACGAAGTCTAGAGTCTCGAATCGCGATATCGATGGTAAATTTATATCAAAACTTTAGTTGTGCTACTAAACAGTTTTGACTTGATTGTCGTTTAGTTTACTTTATTCCTTGTTCATACTCATGGTGTATATAATGAGATTTGACGGAAAGTTTATTGCGGTATTCGATAAATAGTAAGTAAAGAAATAGAGAGAGGTGGTTGTCTGTTAGGCGGTAGTTATTCATATCATATTGTCCTGTTGGCATACGACATAAATCTTGCAAAAATAAAAAGTAAGTTAATTCTCGTTTAGTCGTTTTATAAATATTACAGAATGGATGAATATAAGAACAAATGTAGTGGATTTGACAATACTCCGTGTTTTTAGTTGTCTTGAATTGTTGTAGCCTCAGTTCAAGACTATAATTCACTGCTAATTAGTGTCATATCCCAGATTTCTCGTTTGTATACTGCGCTGATTTTAAGGAGTATAAATGTTGGTTTTATAACCGATTAAAATCGTCGTGATGGCATAGTGAATGTATACTGTAACAACGGCACTAGGGCTTGGAATCAAATATAACAAATGAATTAAATCAAACGTACTTGAAAAAATTTTTTGTGCTTCTGTCTCAGAAATAAAGCTTTAAATTCCTTAGATTCGGAAAAATGCCTACTCTTAAAATCTGCATTGGGGTTTAGCCTCATCTGGTGTCATTACTAATCAAGAGGTTTAAGTCTGGTTTGCTACGCCAGGTTAACCTACCCTAACGTGTTTTAATCTGTTGCTATTAATTCTTTGGTATAATCTATGATGATATTTTCAATTATCAGTTAATCTGGAATATTTCCATTCGATAGATACTGTTGGATTGGAAGCATAGGTACTGAGGTGATCATTCGATTTGATGAAATACTGTTTTCGTCGTCTAAAGTTTTGTGGTTTTTTTTCTTGCCGTAGTCATTGAAGTACTTCTAGATTATTTAAAATACATCACATACTTCGCTCTATAAAAATAAATAACAGAAGTTCTAAGTTACGATGGAGAATCTTCTAAAGAGAATCTGAATGTTATTTAATCATCTTCAATTATTGTGTTACAAAAATATGCTTTCACTTTCTTTTCATTCATAGGAATGGCCTAAATTTCAATGAAGACTACTATTAATAAATAAATTGATAAAAATTATTTTCATAAAATATTATGTGTCGAGTACATTCATTGGTCAATCTAAAAAATAAAATGTATAAATTAATTAAACGTCACTCAGTCAAGTCAACAACACTCAAATAACAGAACAACCTCAGAGGGCAGATGAACAGGAGCTGATACTTCAGATTGTTGGAAGCAGAGGAAACTCTTCCACAAAACAGCTTCGAATGATGAGGGTAGAAATGCTAATTGTGTATTAAAAGCATTTTATTTTTCTGACAACCTTAAATATTTCAAAATATTGTACGATAAAAAAAAACAATGCTGAAAATGTGCACGAGGTCAGTGAATAATAGTGTAATTTCAGGATACAAAATGAATGGCGGAATCCTTTACGGAACGAATTTAAAATGTGAGAATAAATTAAGAGCACTTCTGAAAAGAATATTGCTTAATAGCACGAAAGCTCTAAGGAGTACTAAATATAAAAAATAGATGAATTTGACAGATCTTAGCAAATAAAATTAGGAAGAAAAAAATTTGACTTCTAAATGCTTTGATTCTTGTGATATCTAAAAAATGGATACATATGTAAAACGGATACGTATTATTCTAAACGAATAAAAATCTGAAGAAATGGTGGAAGTTACATTAGCTCTTTATTAATTAAACAGCTTAACCACTTAGCATAGTTGAGATGATAAATGTATGAACTCGATACAGATATAAATTTCAATATTCATTAACAAATCCATTCGAAATATATGTAAAATATAAAAAAGAACCATGGAGCTACATAAACTAAAAAACTCATAGTTTTCTAAAGTGATTACCTGCAGTTAAGGTCCAACATCGCGGTACTCTTAACACACGTATCAGTACAATGCGATGATGAACGTCTTCATTAGAATTCCAAGGAATTCCGCCTTCACCAATTGCAGCTATACATTTGGATATAGTTTACTTCTAGGGAGGAGACGAGGCCTATCTAACACCTCTGCTGTTCTTTGGAGCACAGTACCGGGTTGGAAAATGCAACTTTACATCCAATAAAAGTAATGAACTTTGAGTTTTAATTACAGCCATGATACTGGCATTAAAGGGGCAGAAGACCTGCGCAGACCCTTTCCTGTATTAAGAACGAGCAGCAAAAAAGAGAGTATGGACAATAATAATTATTTTCAGTCCAGTATTAAGGTTTTTGTTAAGTGTCTATTATATGTGGACTGTAAGACAGAATAAAAGAGAAAGTCAAATTTAGGTGGAATCAGAAAATATATGAATTTGTTGATTTGTTTCTTCCTAAATCTTCTACCTGTTATTGCAAGTTATAGTAGTAGTACTTACATTATCCTTTCTATTGGTCGATAAACTATGCAAAATATTTTGGGTTATAAAAAGAGACTTGAATTATGCAGACATCTGGTTAAGTATTAAAATAGTGATAACTTTATGATTTTGACTTTTTAAGAAAATTTAAGAATTCAATTAAAAAGTAAGAAAGGGTAAAAATCTTGGAACAATCGTATATAGGTATGTTTTGCATTAAGGTTCCTGATGTAAACCTTGGTATCTCAACAGTGCGGAATCATAACTCAGTGGGGTCAAATATGTGTGTACTTCTTTTAAGGATCTCCTGGAGAACATAAGTTTGTTCCTGTAGAGAAACGTAAAGGCAGGTTCAGCCGTCTGCTTCTTCATTCCCTACAATGCCTCTATGTTTGGAAATCCCGATGAGAGTGATGTCAGCTAGACGGATAAGCTCACCAATTTCAACTTTCCGTTATTTGCATTATAAGGGATTGCAGGGTCCTAATTGTTATTTGGCTATCAATAAAAATGGTAGCACTAGATTTGTCATTGATGTGATTTACAAATAACAGACATGTCTGTCTCGTCAAAACTTCAGTTTAAAAACCGTAGTTTCATTAGATACCCCAAGAAGATGATTGACTGCTGCGTGTGGAGAGAATAATTTTGTTTCTAGTCTATATTTTTCAGTCTATATTTGACAAAATTGTGATTATCGCTACATCGTAGTTTGCTTGAAACTTTTTTTTACCGTCGTTTTTTGACGGAAATATTTTATATTAATTGGTTTCAAGACCGAAATTATTACAAAAATAATTAAATTTTATTTTTGATTTGGATTAAATATTACATTTTATTATATTTATAAATTAATTGGTACTTAACTTCTAAATTTTTAAAATTATTTTCTTAATATAGTGTCCTTGTATTTGATTAGGGAATTTCAATTTTTGTCAAAATCCATTTTCTTCTATACAAGTATGATTAATATGCCAATCATTTTTATACCCTGAGATATCTCAGCTATATATTTATTTGTCTAATTTGTTTTTTCTTCTTTCTTACTTTAGTTGTCCTTCGTCGCGCCGAGTAGTCTCCGCCAGCTAGCCCGATTAGTTGCTTGCTATCGCCAGTTGGTAGTACCAAGCGCCCCCAAATCGTTGGTCAAATGGCCCTTTCACTGAAGATGCGGATGTTCTCCACCCCGTATTCCACCTGCGGGTACCGAATCAAATACCTTTAAGCCGGAGCACTTTCTTCCATTTGCACGAAAATATGTCAATGTCGCGGTATACCTGATATAGCTCATCGTTTCGTCTAATTCGATACTCGTTGCCAACGCGTAAGGTACCATAAATCGTTCGAAGAATTTTTCACTCGAATACTCCTAACGCCTTCTCATCACTCTTGTTAAATGTTCAAGCTTCTGGAGCTATTAAGCTTCTCCAGCTATATAGGCTGGACAGGCATGATAAGAGATTTGTAGAGCATGATTTTTGTTTTGTCTAATTTGTTAATTTGTTTTTTGTATAATTAAAAACACATGTTGTAGCTCCTATCATATTCTATTGATTACCGAATGTGGAAACTAATACCAAATCCTTGAAAACTCTTACCCTTTATGCTTACCTTGTGGCACGTGTAAGTTTTTAAAGTCTATATTTTTCTTAAATTTTCCTTTAAACTTTCAGTTTTATCGTCGCTTTGAATATGAATTGCAAATTGCCACACAGACACATAGACACACACAAAGAATGAAAAGCAAATTTTCACAGAAACACGCTTTCCTTCTCAGTTCTTGTTGAAAGAAAAAAAATGGTGGCAAATGTGAAAAGTTCAAATAAATTTCATTCCTCGATTCCGGATTGCTTGAACGGGAAAAGCGAGCAGCGAGAGGACATTAAAAATGTAACAAAACACTTTTTATGGTCCTTGTTAACTCGTGAAAGTGAAGC